TTTGTATTTGTGTAATATGAGGTTATAACGAGGATACCTCAAAGTATGCACAAAGGCAGTACAGTGGGAGTATCGACCAACGTGTAGCGGAGGTCGATGCGACAGTGTACTGTCTGAGTGCATACATTGAGGTATCCTCTTAATTAATAACATTATTAATATACATCTTTTCCTCCCAAGTTATTTTAGAACTTTTAAACATAACCTTGCATATAAATGTTTAATGTCAAATTTAAATCCAAAGAGACCAAATCAAAGAAAAGACCGCAGTTTTCTGCTCCTGTTTCAAGGAAATATACTCTGATTTAAAGATTAACACATTTTCATTACCTGAGTGGGAGATAGCCCAGCTATATAGTTTCCACCAAGTCCTTCTCTTCTGAAATACGCTCCAGTTGGGTCAACAACAAGTGGACAATCCAAACCAGGTCCACTTGGGCAGTAACAAACATAGACATATCGTTTCCTCGGCTCAACAGGAAGTGATACCGACATCTCATTCTTTCCATCTCCTATCTTCAGTAAGTTTGAAAGATGACCTGCTTGAGGTCCGGCTGCGTTGATAACTACAGCAGCAGACAATGGTATCATTTCCGGACTATTTGGCATTGAAATCTACAGATAGTGAAATAATGTGTTGGCAACAAATTTATTGCTGTTTCAAATTAAATTAAAAAAATTTTAACCTAATATTTAAAGAGCAGTGGTTGTCACACAGTGCATGTTTGAAACAAACAAGGTATTTAACACGATATGAGTCACATATTGAACAGGGCATTATGCAATGACTACCACCATGGTATTGGACACACAGGAATACAGGAATGTGTACCAGTAGGCATAAAAACATTACAATAATCATTCAAACCGCCATGAAACAGGAAGTCAGGGACATTTTGGACTGACTGATATACAGTGAAACATGTGTGTAGTGACTACTCAAGGTACTTTAGAAAATTCCCCGTTATAGATGGTTGACAAATTGTCAACAGATGTTTTATACACAGATTTATTTGATCAAACTGGTGCCAACGGGAGGTCACTGGACAGATTGGATGGATGGTCTATATATATATACATCACTTTACAAGTAAATGAATTGAGAATGTCCGAGGTGGTTACTATGGGTCTTCAAAGGAGGTCTCTAGGACAGGTTTATAAGTTGTTTGAATGGCCATTTTTACAAAAAAACAAATATGGTATGTTGAAATAATTATTCATATAATGTTATTAAACAATGATTATTCTGTCATTATGAAGGCACCATTATATGTCTGTTGTCGGTGAAATATAATCAGCTATGTAGGTGCAACGACCTATCAACGTTAGATCAACATTTAATGCGTTCAGTTTGACATCAGTGGCCATCTCCCTATCAAATGGCAAATTTAATGCGCTATCCTGGCGTCTACCAGGCCCAGTCGCATTCGTTAGTGAATGAATCTCGGCCAGTGGAATTGGCCTTCCCATCGAGTCTGTGGCACACTCACCCAGGGTGGGGGTTGACCCTATGATATTCAGCCTAAGGTAGGATTTGAACTCAGGTCTACCGATCATGAGTCTGATGCGACAACAACTATGCTACCAGTGACCGGTTTTTGACAACCTTTTAAAAGTCGGCAAACATATTTAAAAAGTTTGACAACCTATTAAATATGTTGGCCGACTTGCACCAGCAGAAAACAGTCTGTCATGCAAATTTGCCTTAACCCGTGAGATATAATTTCATGACTCATGACATCATCAGTGAAGTTACGAACACTCACGTACCTTAACATTTCGTATTCTGTTATCATAATATGGATCATATGGCCCACCTTTTGGTATCTTGTCTTTCCTTAATGTAAATCCGGTGACATTACCATGGACATACTGTACACCAAGTGATTTGGCTTTCTGTTTAAGGGCAGCAAGTAGACACCATGGATCGAACCATCCCTCATTTTCAGTGCCTTAAGTAAAGACAACAATTCATGGCATGACAGTCCCCATATGTTTTCACTGTAAGGTTACAGTGTATGTGTACAGACAGTATATAATAATAATGAATGAAAAGATGCATATAGGTAAAAAAGGAGAAGCCGACTGGTGCCCAACATAGTCCCAACTTGTTTAGTTTCACACTTGCACCAACAAACAAAAAGCTTGTCATTGAAAACTGCAGTATCTGATCGTCAAACAAGTGCAGTCCAACTTATGTACCAAGTTTCAACAAAATCCATCAGGATATCCAGAAATGCTTAATCAGTCAAAGCAGGTCAGGGATATGGCACTAGAACTGCATTCATAAAAACAAAATGGCCGCCAGTCGGTCAATTTGAATCCTATCTGAAAAACAAAATGACGTGCATCAAGGTCCTATAATGTCGAATGTATGTACTAAGTTTAAACAAAATCCATCTGTAAACAGCCGAGATCCGATTTCGAAATGCCAGAAATGCTAGATTTTGATGACTTTTCAGGAAAAAATGGCTGCCCTTTGGCCATCTTGAATCAGATGGTGAAACAAATTGTTGTGCATATGTATAATATTATGTGTGCAGTATGTGTGAAGTTTGAATGTAATCAGTCAAGGAATGTCTAAGATATAGGTCTGAACGCAAGCACGGATGCACACACTGATGCATGCACAGAGTTCAATACAAAAGCCCCCATTTTCGGATTGTGTCCAACCGGGGAATAAAAAAAAGTCAAAAATCTTAAATTTTATCATACATACCATAACTTGCCAGTTCTATTCCATCTGTATTTATCCATGGAAATTTTTCTTTGACCTTTGTGGCTGTCAGGAGTTCGACTTTAGCGCCATTCTCCCTAGCAGCAGAGAATAACAAAATGTAAACACTGATAATCATTATTACAAATTGTACAATCAGTTAGCTTAGTTGTCAGTCTTTCTCTGCATACAGTTTCCGAAACATTTTGGTGCAAATTATTGTCTGTGATGTTTCACCATTTTCAGCCATACCAATCATTTATGTGGCTTCCAATGTATTACAGTCAATGTCAATATTGGCACATGAACCAAAGGTACACTAAACGTTTCATTGCATATAATTATTCTAAACCACTTTTGTTTTACTAGAAACACATTTTTACAAAATTACAAAGCATACAAGCTTTTCAAAATTGAAGGTAGAGACTCTAGCATGGTTTAATGTTTGCCAATCAAGTTCTAGTCTTGTGTGATAAGCAACCAATCAGAACTTGTGTTACAGTCTGTTTTCTAGAAGGCATGATCTAATTGGTTGAGAGATACCATCAGAGGAAAGCTGTCCCTAGTAATAGTAATGTGCATCACTAAGAGTAGTTGCTATGGTAGTAGTGAATTTACCCCGGCAACAGAAATAGGGGGAGGAGGTGCTTAGTTGAGTATCAGTATTAAGTTGGATGAGTTTGGTATATGTAATTAAGTTGAAAGTAATCAAATTTTTTCAAATTTAAACATTTTTGGTGAAATCAGGCCTTGTATTTAGAAACTGAGTGTCTCGTGCCACAGGCGTGGCAGGAGACAATGTGACTCTGGCACGTCCTGGAAGTAAACGTACCGACGTTCTATGTGTAGTTTCGGCTGTCATATACAGATTTTTCACTTGTTTTACCATCGGTGTTTGGATAAAATACTTTCACAGTGGTGTCGTTGGCAGAAATAATTTCAATCCGCGCATTTTATACGAAGATTTAGAAATGGCAGTAACAGGAACAAAAATGAACTATGGTACATGTATATTGAAATCACTTCAAAATATTATAGATTTGGGAATGATAATTAGCTCTTCTTGATTTGGGTGAGTGATAGAAGAGTGGACTTGAACTAGAAAGTATGGTCTCTGATGTATGTTACATTGTGTCATTTATAATATTCAGGTATACATTGGTGTGCTAAAACAGTAAATACTGTAGAATACTTTATTTTCAATGTTTTCGCTGAAATAATGATTCAGCGAAAATGAAATCCAGCAAATATACCCTTTTTCCTATATTTTACATTCAACTTATCAAAAATCAGTGAAAATAAATTCCATACAAAACCCTCAAAAAGTATATTCAGCGAAAATTATTTCCAGCTAAAAAAACGTATTTTACAGTCTATGTTAACGATGAAAACAAATAAACAACAATGCTGACAACAAACATTTTATTACATTTACCTTAAAATCTTCATTATCATTAAAGGTAATAAAAAAATAATCTAAAATATTTTCAGGATTAGTTAATGATTGCTGTAAGTAAATTGTTTTTATCATTACACATACCTCTGAATGTCATAATTAGCTTTCATTTGTCGTGCACTTTTTTCAGTCGCTAGAAATAGGTAACCTTGGGGATTGAACTGGACATCTGGAGGGTCAGCGTCATCCACCGTCAAATGCTCTTTGATATTACGCAAAAACTCTGCACCATACATGGACATCTGGACATTTTCTGGCAGTGAAAATTGTTGATGAATTCCACCGACTGACAAAACTGATGATGCCCTAGTATACTGGAGTAAAAGAAAATGAAGCGATACTAGTCATACACACTAAGCCAGACTCAAACAATGTAATATATGAAAATCTATGGAACACATTGTTTTCAGAGACCAAGCAAAACATCCATTACTATACACATAATACTGTTTTACAAATATTTTTATTATGATAACCTCCACTCAACATCAGGAATTATGGAGTCATTCTGACTCCCAATATATTGATGCACTAGAATCAATATAGTACAGTCAAACAAGAGCTGATAATTCTGAATAAATTATTGATATAGACCAAGAATTTATCTAATTCATGATAATTCTGTGAATCTCGAATGAGATATTTGAACAATATGGTAGAAAAACAAAAACACAATTAATAATTATTGCTGTCTAGATATTATCCTGATATTACACTCCATTTCATGATGGCAGGATAACAGATTTGAATTCATTTTATAAATTTATAAAATAATATATATGAAACATTTACCCATGAAAACACATACTCATCATTTGGTAACGCCTAACTCAGGAATCTATGCGAGTTTCTCTCAATCATTGGCCATGCTGCTGCCATGTATGCAAAAGGTGTCATTTGAAGTATATAAAACATTTATAAGTATTTTATATGAAAAATATTTATGCTATTATGAAATGTAGTGTTTCTTTTTTTTTATAATATTTTTACATATATCTTGTTATTATTTTAAAACTCTTTTTTGCTGTACTTATCCTATGTGAATCTTTTTACACGGAGGCAATAAAGTTATTATTATTAATTGAAGTAAGTTTGTATGATAATTATCATCTGTGTATAAACCCAACACCGTATTTCTAAGAACATTTCAACTAGGCAAATCACTCACCGCTGGATCTCGTTCGATTACCACAACACGCATACCACGTACGATCTTTCTTTTCAAGAAATAGGCAATGCTGGAACCAACAAGACCTCCGCCAATAATGACAATGTCTGCTTCATCGGGAGGCCGATTATCTGTTGGTCCAAACTGTATTGGCGCAAACGGATGTTTTTCCTTCAAACTTTTCTGGAATTCACTCAGAAAGCTCATGTGTCTCACCAAGTGTGTTGAATCGTTCTTGGTTCTACACAAGCACCGGAGTGCAAGGCGTCCTGCAATGCAAGACATCGGAATATGTGGTTCGGGTTCTGTTAGTACGATGCTTTACAAATAGTATCAGCAATATCTCACGCGCCGTCAGTTGTCAGTTAACATTGCGATCACCTTCACTGTAGTGGGTTCACGATGTATGGGCGACAATTTTGCAGCTGATCGACGTGGTCTCAATTATGGTGTCAGGGGTCACACAAGAACGCCACTTGTGGTGACTCAGTTAAAGACATTCGTTTTTATCACACTGGTCACATATGGCGCTCTTCAATCTCAATTCCAAGTTTCAACATTTATCGTTCTCAAAGTATGCTTTATGAAATAAAATCAATTCATTGGGGGTTATCTAAACAAATATTTATAATTTATATTTATATGGATTCTGAATAAAAGAAAAGAAACACTTTATCTCAGTTGTTTATTTTGCAACGTCAAACTTTAATAGCTAATAAATTTGAATATCTGAAAATAAAATGGCTAGTACCGAGAGTACGAGAGACTATCAAGTAGAAAGAAAACAAGCTTTATCATTATATGACAAGTTAACCAGACTCATTCGATGTTATAAACTTTGAAACATAAATATGATTTCATAAAGATGTGGTCGTTATAAATATACATTTTAATATAAAAATGGCCAATCCGGAAATGCTATTATGACATCACAGTAGTTCTAGTTAATACCAGGGTTAATTCAACATTGTCCAATCAAGCAAGCACTTCATTTTTAATATGCGGTAGTCGCAAATACTATGTCACGTGAAAGCATGTACACGCATTATGGGAGTAAATAATTTGAATATTAGTCTTTGAGCCAATCATTATTGAATAACTGAATTTGAATGAAAGCTGATGACCGGCTTTTACAATTTTTGTGCATTTCATTGCAATGTTCTTGCTAAAACATGGTTACTAATTCTGTTTGCAATAATCGTGATTAGCATAGTTTATCCAACGAAAGAACATTGCAAAAATAACAGTTGCTCATATATGCCCATGGCTGTTTCTTTGCATCATACTTACATACATATCTTATTTTCACCATAACAGTAGGAAATAAAAAAAAAATACAATTTCTGATCGCTCTCAAAACTGAAACAAATAGTATTAATTTAATTAGGTAATTAATTTAACTAGGTAATTAATTTAGCTAGGTAATTAATTTAGCCAGGGCGCAATGTAGTAAAAAATGACTTTTCATTCCTGATATTCATAATTGATATTCTGATGATAAAATATATTCTTAGACAACCTGACAGAGAAACATTGCTGTAGTTATTCGGATCATTGTGACTACCGGATTTATAAAGTATTGTAATAGTACTAAATACCAATGACCTTGGAAACTTGTCCGATTTCTTAACAAAATTAAACAGTCTCACATGAAGAATAAAGCTCGTAATGATCGAATAAAAATAAATGAATAAATCTAGGTAAATTTAAATGTCTGACGTCAAGTCATTTTATTTTTCTCTCTTAATCAATATTTGTGTCAAAAATACATTCTTTAATGAAATATAAATAACAGATTGTGTTTCAATAAATGGCAGTGGCATCGAAG